TACTAGCGATACGTCTGACTTCCCGCCTACAATGTGGGCATCGTGCACAAGTTCCACAGAACGCACAACAAATGCTTGTGAGTCTTTCCACAAACATTTTAATTCTGCTTTTTATTCGGCGCATCCCGATATATTCAAATTTGTTAATGTAATTCTCGATATTCAGTTAAATACTTATGTGAAATTAAACAGTACACATATACCTAACAAAATTAAAAACGCTAATTACAAAAAACGGCATGCGTATTTAACGAACGTAATAGAACAATATAAAAATAAGATCCTTTCACGAACTCAATTTATCAAAGTAGTTTCTTATCATTACAAAAACTAATTGCAATTTGGGTTTCTTAAATAATTTTTATTTGGTATTTTGTGTATTTTGTACCTACTTTTTTTTATTATGTATAATTTTATATTGTTTTCTATTAATTATAAGTGTTTTTTTAATTTGGTTTTATTCTTTTCCTGACCCACATTCTGTACCATATCATATCAGTTAAAAATTTCTATTCACGTGGAAAATAATAAAAATCAGTTAAACTATTTTTTTCTTAAAAATATTATTTTCAATAAATCGAAATAGATACCTTTAATGATTGATAACTACGGCGACCAAGAGGCCTACCTGATTTTAAAACTGGAGACCAAGTGGTCGATGAGATTACGGAACCCCGCTGACAAAACTAACCGCGGCGACCAAGTGGCCAACACCCATTTGGCCAGTCCGTGTTAGGTGGAGTTGAGTACCGAGAAAGATAGGCGTCCCATTAGACTGCGCGGAGAAATAAGACTTATTACTCGTACAATTGTCTTTACACAAACAGAAAGTTGCGTACAGAGATATTCTATGAAATGGATGAGGTATCTCTCAACTTCAACTAAAAGAAAAGCAGTAGAACAGCCTTAAGTCAGCTAGGTTTTAATATTTCGGAAACAGTTAGGTATAGGACATAGTACATAAAATATGTACAAATATGAACAAATTTAGAAAGTTAGGCTGTAACATGAGCTTAAAAATTCATTTTCTACATGCTCATCTTGACTTTTTTTCCGGATAATCTTGGCGATGTCAGTGAATAGCAAGGGGGGCGCTTTTACCAGGACATAAAAGAGATGGAACGGCGATATCAAGAGCGCTGGGATATCAAAATGATGGCCGACTACTGTTGGATGCTTAAAAGGGGCCGTCCTACCGCAGAATATGCACGAAAAACAACAAAAAGAAGCTTTTCCGGAAATAGAAAAAGATTTTTTAAGAAAACAAAGGATTAATGTATTTTATTTTTTAACTTCTGTGTAATTATTGGCTAACGTTTTCTAAAATGTCTACCCTTTTCTCACAGGACTTTATTAATACCCTTAACCCAATGCTCTTTCGATTGCTTCGTGTGATTTTATGGGATATATTTCTTCTGCTATTTTGCTGATACAATTTTTTATGGAGGGTACATTCCATTTTCAAGCTGTAACTGATGTATTACAATTCCCAAAAAGGGCTAGTGTTGCAATGTGATAGCATTTGATTCATCTAGGACAAGCACCACACGCAGAGATAATGTATTCAGCTTTATTAATTTAGTGTAATCTATAAAATAAGTAATATAATACCAAAATGATAAAACACCTTTATATAGGTACTTTACTTAAACGATGTATGACTTTTGTTTAATACTAGCCAACATTTCTCCTTTGATAATAACTCAAGATCAGATTGTGTTTTCTTCATATGTTTTGACTCCAATGTATTTTCACGTTCTCTAATCATTTTATTGTAGTTTTCACACAATTAAAAATTGCTTATGGGATTTACAATGTATTTCTAATTTGAAAAGGTTTAATAAGCTCCGGCTAGAGATTGGTAGTTCGTAGTTCGCTAACTGATTATATTATATTATGTTTGCATAATTTCTATAATTTAAATTTGAAGTTTCTTTCTTGCACTGTATTAATCGAGGTATTAATATTGTGACATTGTGTAAATTATATTTTTTTTTTCTTCTAAAGAGCACCAAATAAAAAACTGTGAACACCCTTTTTAAATTATCACGAGCCAGCGCAACGTCCAACATGGGCGTCGTTTGGGAGGGGCAAGGGGGGGGGGCAGTTGCCCCCCCCCCCCGGCTTTTAAGACTTAATCAACAACGCAAAAGATATGCATTACGAACAACAATCTCATAGAAATAATAATATTCAGGCTAATATAGTTGAAGAATATTATAGGTTGAATATATTTATTGCATATCTGGATTCCCTTGCGTCACTTACATCACGCTTTTCCGAAGACTCTGATAGTTTTTCCTTAAGCCTGTTACATCTCAAAAATATAAAAAAATACTTTTTTTCGCAACCGATTAGAAAATGAAAGTAGTGGAAAAATTTGGAATCGACAATTTTGAAGCTGAATACCAAACTGGAGTACGAAAGAGCTTTCTGCAAACAATGAGCTCTCCATTAATGATATAGCTTCCAAACATTGTAAATTTTATGGCTCTTCCACCAACGATAGAGTTAATCGAAAGAATGTTTAGCACGCTAAGGCATGTTAAAACATGGCTACGTCTCTTCGATCAGTGCGAAGTCATGGTAGGGAAAGCAAAGCGATACTAGCGCAAGCTACGGATAATTCGAGTACTTTAGGGCAATATTTTGTAATTTTGGCGTATCTAATATATGTATACAGTTTACCTTTTACTAAAAAAATAGGTTAAAAACAATAAAATGAGCAACCAAAGTTGCTATGTTGCAAATTATACTAGCAAAGAAAACTGTAAATTGTATAAATTTTCAGTAACAAAATCGAAATTAAATCAAAGAAATAAATAGACAGCTGTATAATAAGAAGAAAAAAAACCCTAATTTTTGTAATAATAACAGTAATACTGGAAATAAGAGGCATCAGAAAAAGTTTTAAATATACCTACAATAAATTATTATTTTATGATATTCTTCAACATCTCTTAAATCTTAAATGTTTAGCAAATGATTAGATTTCTGTCTTTGATTATTTTATATGGCTGAAATGCAATCTTGATAGGAAACCAGTTTTAATCATTAATTTCTATAGTTCTTTTGAACTAAAAATGAAAAAATATAAATTACAGTCACAATAATACGTTTTAATTCTACGTTATTATATAATGGTAATGTTTTTATTTTAACTTTATTTAACATATTCTTCAATGACAACTTATAAGGCTTAGGCAAGATCTCATACATTTTATCGTAAATACCTACCTATGTTTTATTATTGATTTTTATTGATTATACCTACTTTTTTTTAGCTGAAGTAATAAAAATATATAATAATAATTTTTTTACTTGCGAATAATGAATGAAAATAGACTGACTGAAGAATAAATTATGTTTTCTGTTATCGATGTTTTTAGTAGAGAAAAAAGGAATTTTAAATTTGCGTTTTTCTAGCGTTTTTTTTTTTGTTCATCGTCGTGTTTGAGTGAGTTTTTTGTTTTTGTTTTTTATAAATTTTTATTTTTTATATTATTATGTATGGCTGTCTTCTTGTTTATATTTTTCTTTTATATCACACCTTCAGTTTGTTTTTTTAAAATGTGTTTTAAGTTTCTTGTTTTTTCTTTATTTTAGTTTTTGTCTTTTGTGTTGGGTTATTTTGTTTATTAGAGACTTGTTATGACAACTTAAGTATCAGTTTTGTCAAATAGGTCAGTGACATTGTTAGGGTTATTACTAAAGTTCCACTCACCCTTATGAAGTGAGATATCGGAATAATTTTGTTCTGTTTGAAAGACTAGAACAAATACTTTCTTATGAAGGATTCAATTGTTCTGTGACATCATGATTTACTTCCGGTTTTTCCGGAAATAACAGAAAAACGCAATTTTTTTAATTTTAAAAGGAACCCCCTTTTTTTATTATAAATTTAAATTTCTGGAACATTTTTGTATAATAATCGTGTATATCGGATAATATTTTTTCTAAATATGTTACTATTAATTCGTTTATGGAAAAACATATAGGAATGTACGAACTTTATAAAATCTTTTTAGGCTTCAAAATTCCCATTGAGACCCATTTATCGTATACCAGTGGCGTATCTAAGCATTTTTATTATTAGCAAACCGTTTAATAATTCCATCTGCTTTTATCTTCGTTGTTAATTGAGATATTGGAATGAAAATGTACTTCTTTAAAAGCTTGGGACAAATACTCTCATATACTGGATTTAATTGATGTGTGACTTCATGTCTTACTCCTGTTTTATCGGAAATAACAGAAAATCTCAATTTATTTTTAATTTTTAAATAGAAACCCCTCTTTTTATTGGAAATTTGAATTTTAGGGACATTTGTGGATAAGAATCATGTATTGAAAATTTTCTGTCAGCTGTCAAAATGACGATCATATTGGAAAATATTTTTTACTAACAGAAAATTTTCAATACAGGCTTCTTATACAAAAATGTCCCAAAAATTCAAATTTTCAATAAGGAAAAGGTTTTTCATTTAAAAATAAATTGCGATTTTCTGTTATTTCTGGAAAAACCGGAAGTAAGCCATGACGTCACAGAATAATTAAATCCATCATAAGAAATTTTTCTTTTATTTTTCATTTTCTTTGTTTTCCAACAAATAAACATTCTAAATTTTTTCAAAATTTTGCCCCTCCCTATAGAATTGTGTAACGACGCCCATGGCGTTCAATACAATACAAATTATCGGTAACAATAGTTTTATCGCTTTCTATTAATTTGTTCTTCCATAGATTTTTGTTGATCTGGTTTAAAAATGTTGAAAAACACTATATTATTTTTACGCTTCTCTCTTTCTGAGATTTCGTTAACAATCTCTTTAAAGTCAAACTCAGGTAAATCATTTTTTTAAATCTTTAATTTCATTTTGTAAGATTGAAATTAACGCCTTTAATTCTTTTTAATGTCTTTACTAATTGTTCTACAATCAATGCAAGTCTAATGCGGACTTATTATCATCTACACACTAGTAATGCACTATTAAAAAACTTCCGTTAATTAAAAAGTTCATCCGCTTCGCCGCGTTTTAGCGTACTTTTTGTAGAATCTTTAAATTCATACAGCTCTGACAACATCGTAAAAAACAACTTGTTGCAAATGAGGTCTCCGCTCGCGAGCATTTACAGACCCGCCGCCGATTTACTATTTCAAACGCGAACGGTCAAATCTTCCATAATGTAACTGCTACGATTTTTTTGAAAAAAAAAATAATAATAATAAAGTGCTCTCGTTACAAAATGAACGCGGAGTGCAACGAAGACGTTCTTGGTCCCAAACGGGATTCGTTATACGTAGTGTTACCTCTAACTATTATATTTGTAATAATATTTATAACGGGTTCAATCGGAAATATCAGCACTTGCATAGTTATAGCTAAAAACAAATCTATGCACACGGCGACGAACTATTATTTGTTTAGTTTAGCTGTATCAGATCAGCTGCTGCTCATAACTGGATTACCGCAAGAAGTGTACAGTTTTTGGTCAAGGTACCCATACATTTTTGGAAGTACTTTTTGTTTTCTTCGCGGACTTCTTTCGGAAACCAGTGGTAATTCTAGTGTTCTCATTATTGGAGCGTTTACAGTAGAGCGATATCTAGCGATATGCCATCCGTTTCTTTCACACACTCTATCGAACCTCTCAAGAGCTATTAAGCTAGTTCTAATAATATGGATCCTCTCGATTGGTTTAGCAATTCCTCAGGCTTTGCCGTTAAGGGTGGAACTGATAAACGGGACTTGTCGTCAGTGCGTGATATCAAATAATGCGTACATAGAGCCCGTTTTTGAAGTGTCGACGATCTTGTTGTTTATAGTACCGATGACCATTATTACGGTTTTATATATACTTGTTGGGATTAGACTGAAATCTTCCAATAACATAAATAAGTTGAGCACGCATGCTAGGATGCAGCGTAAGTCATCGTGGAAGGTTGTTAAAATGTTGGGTAAGTCAGTTTTTTTAACCAATTAATTTCCCTACAAAAAAGAAATGATTTTAGAGAGTAAATTGAAGCCTTTGGTGTAAAAAGGATTCAAATCACAATTTGTCGTGAAGCTCCTATTTTTAACAGACTTCAAAAAAGGAGGAGGTTCTCAATTCGTCGCGATATTTTTTTTTATGTATGTTCAGCGATAATTCTTTAACACGGTGTTCGATTTCAATGATTCTTTTTTATTGGAAAGGGGTTACTTCAGGGGTGGTCCCATATATATTTGGTTATAATCTAATAATTGGGTCCATGATAAAATCCTCAAACTCTTCATTTTTTATGTATGTTTAGCGATAATGCTTTACCACCTTGTCCGATTTATATGATTCTTTTTTTGTTAGTAAGGGGGTACCTCAGGTGTGGTTCCATATAAATTTGGAACGTTTTTAAAGTCGGTTTTTTGAAATTTTTAATTTCTAATACTTGTATTTCAAAACAAGGATATTAGCCAAGGATACTTGAGTCTCTATAGGATTGTTCAATGCATTGTGTATAATTGGAAGTATTCGAGAAAATGACATAGTTTGCGGGACCATCGAATGCGCGAATTTAAAAATGAACACGATTATAAATTGTTCTGGTTTATATTTCGTGTAAAATAAAAATACCAATATTGAATTTCATGTGATAAACGCTTTTTTACTTTCCTATCTGTACACAGATAAGAAAAGTATATAAATCATGATTTTTTTCGACCTCGAGTTTTCGACGGTTTTTTACGTTTTGGGATCCCCTAAATCCGTTTCGACTATTTTCGCGATGATCTTAAGCTTTATTCCGGCCTCCAGTGAACTGGTTAGATTTTGGGCAGAGTCGAAACATCTGGGAGGGTACTTTATAGGTGGTCATTTTTATATTTTATGGAATGTATCTATTATTTACGTTTGTAGAAGAAAATTCTTTAAATAAAAGTTACTTACAATATTTCGTATCTATAATTTTTGTTTTTTACAAAATTTTCCTAAAATGGTCCGTATTCGAGAAATTTGACAAAATGTAAAAAAAATAATTTTTTATAAAAATTATTTAAATAAAAGTTGTTTATAATATAATTCTCTATAATTTTTATTTTATACATAATTTCTCTAAAATGAACTGTATTCAAGATATTTGAGAAAATGTGTAAATTTAGAATTTTGAAGAAAATTAAAAAACGGGCAAAGGAAAAAACATTAATTTTTAACCTTTAGTTTTATTTTGGCCTGAGGTGAAATGATTGGATTTTGGACAAAGTCGGAACATCTGGGGGAGGGGTACTTTATGGGAGCCGTTTTTATATTTTATGGAATATATCTGTTATTTACGTTTGGAGAAGAAAATTGTTCAAATAAAAGTTACTTACAATATTATTATCTATAATTTTTGTTTAATACATAATTTTCCTAAAATGGTTTGTATTCGAGAAATTTGACATAATGTAAAAAAAATAATTTCTTATAAAAATTGTTCAAATAAAAGTTGTTTGTAATATATTTATAATTTTTAATCTATACATAATTTCTCTAAAATAAACAGCATTCGAAATATTTGAGAAAATGTGTAAATTTCGAGTTTTGAAGAAAACTCGAAAACAGATAAAGGAAAAAACATTAAATTTTAAACTTAAGTTTTATTTTGGCTTAGGATAAAATGATTAGATTTTGGATAAAGCCGGAACATCTGGGGGGTACTTTATTAGAGGTCGTTTTTATATTTTATGGAATATATCTGTTATTTACGTTTGGAAAAGAAAATTCTTCAAATAAAAGTTACTTGTAATATTTCATATCTATAATTTTTGTTCTGTACAAAATTTTCCTAAAATGATCCGTATTCGAGAAATTTGACAAAAAGTAAAAAAAATAATTGTTTATAAAAATTGTTTTAATAAAAGTTATTTATTGTCTATAATATTATATATCTATAATATTATCTATAATTTTTACTTTGAGTAAAATTTTCCTGAAATGGTCCGTATTCGAGTAATTTGACAAAATGTGCAAAATTCTGATTTTTAAGAAAATTGTTAAACTAAAAGTTGTTTGCGATATCGACCTCTATAATTTTTGTTTTTACATGATTTTTCTAAAATGGATCGTAATGGAAAAATTGGAGAAAAAGTGCTAAATTTAAATTTTCCAGTATTTTCTTTTTAATTATTATCTATAGAAAAATGTTTTAATTAGTTTAGCTGTCTTAATGCAAAACCCGCCAAGTGCAAAAATAAAAAATGAGCACCGCCATTTTATAAAGAATGGTAAATTTTAAACTGTGTTAAAATATTATTTTTCAAAACTCGCCACTTCAATTAATATTCACAATCTAAAAATCAGTTTACTTTCAAAATATTTCCAAGTGGAAACTTATTTATTTGCAAAAATCGCCAAGTATTAGTAACCAATAGGAAAGCCATTTTTTTGTCGCGTGACCATCACGGCGAGCCCCTACGACGTTCGATGATTTTGCCGGAAATTGTTTAGTTGTTGTGAATTAAAGCAAGTGTTCTGTGATTAAAGCCAACAAGAAAAAAACGGTAATAATATTGGCGTTTGGTAAAATTGGTAAACAATTGAGTAATGAGTGAAATTAATATTACAAAAACTCTTCCAAACCAAAGTCGAAACAGGATAGTACAAGTAGACCAACATAAACGCTCTATTCCCAAATGGAAAAGGTAAGTTTAATATAGGTAGTTATTACGAGGCGAAAAATACTGATTCTTTTGTTTTATAATTGCAGATATTCTGCAAAGTCTTTACCCAAATACCAACTTGCAAACATAAATCCGGAAGCATTAAATGCAAAACTTTATCTATGGCAGACATCAAACGGTTTCATGAATTGTTTTACGAAAACAAAAATGATTACTGTTGGGTTCTAAGTAACAGTGCTGTTCCTAAAGTGGCGCTGGGAAACAGTTACAACGCCTACACAGAACACGATACTAATGGCCTTAGTAGTCGATGCCGATCTCACCATATTAAAAAAAAAAAATTGCATAAGACACGTTTATTTACAAGTGCTGTTTTGCATTAAAGCCAAAAAAAGTCATATTTGGCAATAAATACAAGGGATAAAAAAAGTCTCATTATAGTGTATCATGTGTTAAAAAACAACGAATTGGTTCGGGTGTGTCAAAATGCTTTCCTCGGAATATTGAACTTAAAAAAAGACAGAGTTCAAAGAGTTGTAAAACAATGCGAAAACATTCCAAAGGAAAACAGAGGTGGCGACAGAGTTGGTTTGAAGAATGAGGAAAAAAGCGCGCAATTTCCCAGTTTATAGAAAGTTTAAAGTGTGCAGAGTCCCATTATTGCAGGAGTCGTACCAATGCCAGAGTTAACCTAAGCTATACACTGAATATTAGAAAATTGTATAAGATGTTCAATACATCTGTAGAAGATCACCTTAAAATTAAGGAATCCTATTTTAGAAAATACGTAAACAGAAACTACATTCTTGGCTTTGGCAGTCCAAAGACCGATGTTTGTTCTGCTGTTTAAACTTTAAGGAAAAAATTAAAAGAGAGAAAGAAGAAGCTTTAAGAACCAACTTATTAACAAAACAAAGAGTTCATAAACTGAAAGCCAATGCTTTTTATGGAATGCTTAAAGAAGAAAAGGATAATGTTCTAAATTGCTCTTTCGACCGCCAGAAAAATTTAGCCTTACCTCGACTACCAGATTCCTCGGCATGTTTTTCACAGCAGTATAATCTATATAATTTTACAATCGTAAAAGGTTCTTCGAAATCGCAGTTACGTCTCTACAATGTAACAACATACCTGTGGACAGATGTAGATCTTCCAAAAAACTCGAGTATAATATCCTCAGCCTTGTTTGACTTTTAAAGAAAAGAAGACATTCCTGCATCTAAAGATACAATTCATCTGTTCGCCGATGGTTGCGACGGGAAAAACACAAATTCGATTGTTTTAACCATGCTTTCTTTCTGCTTATAAAATTTGCCTCTGCCAATGTAAAAATAATTGAGTTTGTCTTTCCTATAGTAGATCATTCATTCATGCCACCTAACCGGGTTTTTGGATTAATTGAACGTGAAATAAAAAAAATACTATCTGTGAATTACAAGAGTATTACAGCATTATAGAACAACATTCAACAATAAAAGTATTGGGAAGAGATTGGCATGCCTACGATTGAAAAGCGGCTAATCAAGCTACTATCAAACTACAAGGAAGTTGGCACTTTCAATTTAATCCATCGAAACAATAATCAAGTGTAATTCAAGGAGAAGCAAACTATCGCAGATTTACCAAGCTCTTCCACAATTATGGATGAATTCATCTGCGATGAAAATGCTGAAGATAACACAAGATTTGTTTAAATAACATGGCTTAAGTTACTTTTGTTAGTTTTGTTTGTATTTTTTTAATAAAGTTTTTTTAAAGAGGTATGTTTCAAACTTTTTAAAGTTTTTAAAATACTTAATTTTGGTTGCAAAACCCGCCATTTTTCAAGTTAATTTTCAAAACCCGCCAACTGCATTTTCTGCACATTTTCTTACCACCGTAAATTAGTATGCGACCTCTTTGATTTATAAGATGCATGATAATAGTTATTAAGAAACTACTTCGTTTGCACGTGGCAGATTTTGCAATTAGACGGCTCATATATGGAAAATGTATATATTTAGTTTATCCTCTAAACATTTATAGAGGTGCTGCAATAGGTTGTACAAAATAACTAAAAAAAGCCTATAATAACTGGATAGGAAAGTCATGTGTTGGACACATCACATTTTTTTTAAATATAAACCGTCTGAGGTACCTATTTCGAAATAAATGGGACACGATAAGAAATATCTATTATTGGAATTCACATAACAACAATACATAGGTATATTTGCATTGAACGACCACGTTACAATACAAGTAATTGTGGATGGTGATGGCACAATATTTTTCAGAACATTTCTAATAGCACATATATTTAAAAACAATCAATCATATCTTT